ACAAAAGCCTGGGACGGAGCGGCCCCGGTGGGGAGAGCTTTGGAGGAACAAAAGCAATTTGCATCTCGGCACACGGAGCCTCCTTTGCCCTTCTGCCTGTATCGCTGAGAACTTGGTATGCGAGGAGGATGAGCAGGAGAGGATGCTTTTGCCAGCGAGGAGAATTTCACCAGCATTAGAAAGCACGTAACGGAGAGATCTCCCTTTGGAGAGGACTGCATGTCACCGAGCAGCTGGGCAGATGGGAGCTTCAGGCTTCAAAGACTGGAGCTGACAGTCTCTCCTCTGATGTTTCACTAAAGGGAGGGGAGTGCCAAGTGCTTTAGCCTCCTGTTTTATTAATATGCTGATCTGATGGGCTCATGTATAATAGATACGCGAGGGAAGAGCAAGAGGTTTACATCCGATTTCCATGTTGTATACGTTTCTATCAAACACTATAGGCAGATCATTCACCTCTTCATATTAATCTAATGAATTTGCTCGAGTTTTGAAGGAAAGAACAAAAAGCAACCAATTCTTCAATTGGTTTCAATAGCTTGTTATTATAAAAGAACGTCTGAAAAGCGCTGAAAACCTCTTATTTACCTACCCAGAACCAGCCTGGCCCTTGGTAGATGAAGACCTCTCTGCAGCACAAAGTCTGAGCATTGCATCCAGTCCAAGGGCTGGTCCCCTGCAAACACAAACACAATTACACTGCGATGGCTCATAAATCTGCTAGAATTTACACAAAGCAGAAAAGAAAAACCCAGCTCGGACAGATTAGGATCTTTCATTTATGGTTGGTTACTGCTAGATGCTCCAGAAGATGACAATTTCCGCCTTGCAAACTCTAGAAGACCTAAAATAGAGTAATGGGGATTTCTCCATGAGCTAAGCTACCTAGTTGTTGTGCTAAAAGAGAGAAAAAAAAARAAAAAAAAAAAAAAAGAAAAAAAAGGACTGGTGGCCCTCAGTGTTTCTAGCTTAGCTGTAAAGTTCAGTGCTATTCTTGGTCTCGAGCTGCCTCAGCCGCTGAAGCTTGCTAAGTTGTTTGCTTTAATAGCACACAGCGTGAAACAAAGCAAAGCTGGGAAGTGTTCACAGCGAAATGCCTCCTTCTGCTGAGCTCACTGTATCTCGCTGTTTCTTGGAAATGTTTAATTATAGGTTGCAGATTCCAAAGCAGTTTCTTCCAATTATTTGGTCTGGGGCCCCTTTGAAATACAAAAACAAAACAAACCCCCTCCAATCCTGCACTCTTTGCCAGCTAGGTCCAATGGACACAGATCCCTTACTTCATTTGGGCAGAGAAACTAAACACCTCACTGACTGCACTTCAACTCATCACCGACCTGAAATAACTGGTAATTTGAACAGCCATAACAAAATTAAAGCAGTCTTGGTAAGGCACGTTGAGATGCCTGCAGGTAAAACCAAGTGGATATACGTTAAAGCTTCTCAAAAGTGAATCATCAACAGGGGAACGAGCTCTTCTTTCCCCTGCCCAATGTGGAGGTGGTGTGTTAGGAGTTAGGGAAGCAAGCTGAATGAGCAGTTATTATCTCAATAAAAAGACATGATTTTGAGCGGGCAAACAAAGACACTATTTTGAGCGTGCTCTTCCACCTTTTCGTAGGCTATTCCTTTACATAAGCAGCACATGCTTTTATAGACCTGACTTGCAAACCTCCCCATCTCGGCAATAATTTAAAGTAAATCTAGCAGTGGTGCCACATGCCTGACCTAGAGAGAACTGCATTGATAGCCCAGGCATGCCCATATACCCGCTTCGGCACTGGCCTCTCTCCCAAGCGTTCCTCTGCACCGGGGAGACAGGCTGAGCGAGCCCCAGTGGCAGCGGCACGAGGCGGCTCAGCCTCCTCCTGGCACAGACCTGGCAACGCTCGGGGCTCCAGCTGCTCTCCTGGCACCACGACACGGGTGCCACGAGCGCCCGGGCACCGCACGACCCTTGCTCATCTTTAGCATCATAAATGGTCACTCGGGTGCTAATACCTGGAGCGGTCACGGGCACCGGATCAGCGCTTTCACAAGCTGCTCCCGGCTGCTTTTTACACCCTCCGTTCTCCTCGGCATCCTGCAGAGATGAGAAACAAACAAAAAGTTCCCTGGAAAATCTAGCGCTTCAGCAACGTTGAAAGATGCCAGCTCAGCACAGGTCTGGAGTCAGATCCGTAACAGATTATACACCTGGGCACACGTGCCAGGAAACACAGGAGTTTCTGCTACACGGCCAGCAACACCATGGGATTTTGCCTTGCAGCTTGGAGCAAGGAGGGACTTATTTTCAAGTGTATTTTTAGAAAGACGAAAGATCAAGAATATTATCCCTGCTTTCAAGAACCTTGCTGGCATCAGACAGATGCATACGGGCACTTATTTAGGGGGAAAAAAAACAAAAAAAAAGGCAACAAAACAATATCTGGAAGGAGTGGAGCCTGCCTGTTTACTTTCCAGCCACTGAGAAAGAGCACGCTGTGCTTGTGTACCAAGGGAGTTATCGGTGACTGCGCAGATACAGCTCTAGGTGTGGTTTTGATCGATAAGCCTCAAGCAGTTCCAGTGGGGACTTCAAAACATGAACAATTTTTTTTTTAAAGGGATGAAAATTCTGAGCCCAAAAATAAATTCACGTTTGAAAAGCCTGTTTGAAGCAAAACACCATGGGGAGGGGGTAAAAAAAAAAAAGAAATAAATGTATCTGAACAGCAGTATAGAGGGGAAAAATGAAAGGTAAAGAAACAGAAGATGCAGGGTCTGAAAGGACATAGATGCAGAAGACTTCCCAAATCACACCACTGACAGAGGCTTCACAGGTTGTGACAGTCAAAAGCCAACAAGAAAATTGTGTGTGATGAGAGAACCACGAATGCTGTTTCCAACACAGAGGGGCAGACTTTTTGCTCCTGCTTTACAAGCCCTGTCATCCAAACTAGGTTAGCAAAACCTTAGGGTCCATTAAGAGCAGAGAACAAGGAGGGTTGCTGTGACAGGAAGAGATTAAGCAAGAGATGAGCACCAGCAAACAGTCTTGAACAAGCCGCATCAGCAGAGAGGGAAGCCCAAGGGCAGCTTCACAGCGCTCCTGAACGCACCTCAGGCACTGAGATGCAATCACTGCAAGCACAATTTTAGTATCGGAAGCCCCGTTTTGGCTAAAGATGCAGATTTGAGGAAACACTCACAGCCAACACTGAGATTTTCTGTTAAAACACTGATCATCAAGCCCGCCAAGCGGCGCATCTCCCAACAAAGCGGATGAAACGGAGACGCTCCCGTCTCTCCTTAGGAATCCGCAAGCGCGGGCTCCGTTCCTCTCAGCAGGAGCCGTGCAGCACGGCCGAGGAGCAGAGCTCCCCTCATCCATAATGCACAGGCACCCGTGGGCTCCGGGCTGTCAGGAAGGACATCACTTTTCAATAAGAACAACGGTATTCTGGGAGCGGGATGGTTAAAAATATATATCTTACACTTGCGCCACTATAAATTATTGACTGTACAGGGGGTTGGAGAAAAGGATTCAGCTCGATTAATAATTTACTTTCTAATCCAAACGAAGATGGAATTTTATGCACCACTTATTACCAGCGCTACCCTTGGAAAAACCTAACTGCATTTCCCACTATTTGAAGCGGGAGCTGCCTTTCCATTTTCAAAATGGTTTCTAAAGCTTATTCTCTAACTGGAAACACGCAGAGGAAACCTTCCCCTGAGAAAGAATATGGTCATTGCTGAATATTTAGTAGGCACATTAAGGATACAGAAAGGGATCTGTGCTTTGAAGGAGCATTACAGCCTCTGCAAGACAGTTCTGGAGTGAAAGGAACTACCTTCCTTCATTGAGTGTTCCGCAAACAGGCATGAATCAGACCGCCAGGCACATTTCCTTGTTTGAGAAACTAAATATCTTGAGTGACACTGATTTAGCAACCGGTTGCAAAAGCGCCAGATACAGATGGTTGAAAGGCTGCTTTCCAATTCTGCGGCCACAGCCTTGCCCGTCTGGACACCTGGGATAGTCCAGATCACAGCAGAACTGGAAAGTTACAGAGGAAAAAGGAAGTTATGCAAATATACGGACACACTCTTTACAATTGCTTGCATTGTGTTCAAAGTGTTGGCCTATTTTTGATGTTTGTGATTACGTCTTTGAGAAGGGGAACTCCCCACTCCCAAAACTTATAGAAAAATATATACCCTCGCACCAGAAGTCACCTTATGCCCAGAAGGCTGTTCAAGTCAACATCATTTCTGGTGCATATTTGGAAATCGGATGTTTTAAACTACAGATTTACAGGAATGTTTTAAAGCTTACCTTTAAAGAAGTCTATCTTTATTTCCATCTGCCAAAGCATTGCAAAAGAAACCATCATCATTGCATTCAAATCACTTGGAAGTGGATGCTTGAAACAAAGTGGGAGAAGGGAGACAGAAACATATTCTGTCTACCCGAGCACTTCTGGTCAGCGAAGATCCTTCCCATCTGTTATTTAGGACAAGACCAGAAAATAAATGAGTTTTTACACTTAGTGACAATGCTGAACTGCAGAGATGAGCTCGTGAACCTCCTCTGAGCCTTCACTGCAGCGGAAAGAGGCAAAAATTGTCATGGGGAAAGACACAAGCACCTTGCTTAGAATTCTAGTTTATTATTAAATTACATATCAAAGCCTTTTATAATACATACAGAGAATGCACAATAGGCGAGAGCAAAAAAATATTACAGTTACAATAAAATAAGTTTTAAGAGGCTATATGAAAATCAAAACATCAGAAAGTGCAATCAAAATTGAATTTACCAGGGGCTGGATGGGGATATTTTGTGAGAAAGTGTTCTTTTTGTCTTGACAGAGTGTGGATTCATACTGTTTTCCTCTTTCAGTAGCAGCCAGAGCAACAACTGCTTATGCATCTGAGTTGAAAGCATTGCATTGGTTTCAAATAACCAGTCACCAAGAAAATACAGAGCCACGAGAGGATTTGTGGATGTCACCTAGAATGTGTCTCACCTTTATCTCAAGTATGTTCCTCATTTCAGTCTCCCTGCCTGAATAATCCTGTATTGTTACAGAGTTTTGGAATTATTTCCAAAATCCTACAGTTATTCTCTTTGCTGTTCTAAGTTTAAAAAAAAAGGAAAAGGATATGCACACCAAGAGGTCCTGGGAAACAAACTGCTCCATTTGGCATTTATAACCTTGACTAAACTGCTAGTTAAACAGCCCAAAGTGGAGGCCCAGCCTTCACTCCCTATGCAGCGGTTTTGGGCAGCTTCAGGAACACGGCCTCGGGGGACAGGCTGTCACCCAACTTATCTGGGACCTCCGCATCACCAAAACCACCATATTTGGCTCTTCCATTTTCACCTTTCAGTGAGGAACTGACTCTTTCTCCTCACAGCAAACTTAAGGCTTCCCAAAAGCAAGGGCTCCTAAAGTTACGAAAGAAAAATACGAGTTGATCGTGCGGGGGTAACGAAGCCAGGAGGAATTTACACCACCTTTTGCTATGCAGCTTCTGAACTCAACGCTGACCAGGGACGGCTTCCCAAAGCACCACGGCACTGGCTGGTCCCAGGGCCACGCGCGATGGCCGAGTCCTTGCTCCGTTGTTGCTCCCGTTGATGAGCATCGTTGCTCATCGTTATCCTAGCCAAGGGCTAGGGATAAGTTGTGGCCACGGCAGCGCTCGCCAGTGGGCACTGGCAGAAGCCCATGCTTCGATGCAGCAATCCTGAAGGGCACACAAGCACCTGAAGAATAAACAGGCTGAAAAGCAAGGTTTGAAATATTCATTTGAAGCACCTGGCAATAGGGAGCACGAGGACTGGTCGTGTTCAAACGCTGAGCTACCAGGTTGTGGGATGCCTTTGAAGTAGGTTCTTGTGCACGGGTAAGAATAAAGAAGAAATTTAAAAGGAGATGAGGCTATAACATGAAATATGAAATGATATGCCCTGTTCTTGTAACAGAGCATTTCTGGGCGAGAGATTTGTAGAAACATTCTGGATTTATTTACTTCATTTCTATGGCTTAAAGACAATTTTCTTTGCACAAATCTTTTTAGTGGAGGCACAAACTTCCAACACTGCCAGCAACCACAGAAAGGAGGATTCAAGAGGAATCACACAGAACAAAACAACTAAGAGAACATATTTAGCAACAGGAGACATACATGCAAGTTGCGATTAAATTCTAAAGTTGCAATTAAGGACTAAAATCCATTGTCTTCATTTTCCTGTCCATGGCCTTGACTATAGAGCCACATTGCTAGAATGGTTCAGGAGAACTAGCAAGTCCTCCTCTCAGCTCTGTGCCTCACTTCAGAGCAAGGGAGAATGCCAAACATTATCAGAAGGCCACAGCAAGACGAGGAAGGGGCGATTGCAAGGTTAATTGTGTTTTCTCAACACAAAACTCTGTTTCAATACCAACACAAACAAAAACCAGAGGGGCTGCCAATACTGAAACCATTTCCAGTACAGTTTATCACTGATAATTCCGCATAATTTTGTCTTTATACTAAAATATATCCGTTCCTCCACAACATGGAAACTCCATTAGGTTTACATATTCATTATAATCTACATATTTTCCATAGCAGCTTTTTTGCACAGTAGGATTAAGTATATGCACCAAATAATTAAATCCAGTAAAAAGACTGGTTACAAGATTAAATAAATGAATTTATTTATGATACTGCAGATCTTATATTGCCAGCTATATAGCAATCAAATCCTAACAATCCTAAACAGAAGCACAACTGCCAAATCGAGGTCCTTTAGGGAAAGAAAAAGAATAAATCAGCAGAGAAGAGGTTTGATCTCCCAAAATACAGATTAATTACTAAACCTCCTTCATTCCTCAATGTTTTTCCATGAACTCCTTTAATGAACACTATTTCAAACCAGGAACATTTCCAAATCAACCAGAAGACTATCCTTTATTTAAAATACAAGCCCCATAATTTTACATCCGTATTAACTTCAAATGCTTCCTAACAGCAAAGGCAAGATGACCAGTTACACGTCTTTGTAGTCTTTTTTTAACACAAAATTGTTATTCTGCAAGCAAACCTTCAAGTCCACATGAGTGTTTCACATAAGACAGTGCAGCTCTACATGGGCACGAGCCATGACTCCTTCCAACAAGTTACTGCACAGACACTATAAAAAGCAGTAATAAAACTGTGACTGTCCTGGCTGGACTGTGTTGCAGAACAGGGACTGTGCCCAGAACCTGGAGAGCATCCAATGCTTGCGGGTAATGGAATACACGGAATCTATGAGGAACACTACAAATTGCTTGTGGAGAGGGAAAACACGGGATTAATCCAGTCCTTAGAAAGATACTTCAGTGCCTCAGCTTGAATTTACTATGTTATGAAGTGACAGACGGAAAGAGCGGTTGAAAGAGCAGGGAAAACCTGTAATTTGTGACGGCAATATCAAAGCCAGTCCCAAAAGTCGTTTTTTAGAGACACAACCACAACAGGATTCACGTTGCATGTCTGGACATGAAAACAAAAAATGCCATTGTCATTCTCCCCAAGCTAAGTGTAAATAAGACTGGTTTGACTCTGTAGCCATTCATACATTCACCACTTTACTTTGAGGGGTTACATCCAAAAGTTTTGCACACAGATATATTTGCCACCAGCTATAGCCAGCATAGGATCCATTTCCAATCGACAGTTCAGATTATATCCTACTTACAGTGTAAAAATATTAATGCTATTAGAATAACTTTATCTAAATTACAATATAGGCTTTTTGAACTGCTTATCATGTCTTTAATAAAGACTTTTGTGATGCCAGCCAAAATCAGAGTATTTAGACCCAAAAGATTACTTTTAGGTGAACTCGTGTTTGGTCGCTTCTCAGATGACTGAACACTATGGCAGATAGCTGCTAGAATGCTGTGCTCCCTTTATTTTACAAAGGGGGACGTGTTAGTCCCTTTAAAGCCACAAGTAACCTTATAAATGCTTGTCAGAGGGTAGTTTAGTTTATTCATATTCTGTGCAAAAAGTGAACTGAACGATCCTTTGAGAAATTGGTGTGAAGCAGTTTTCACAGCACAAGTTACGCAGAAGTGACTATTACTCTCTCATCCACGAATTAAAAAACAATCACAGAACATATTTTGTAGTAAACCAGCCTGACGGCTTAAAGCTGCAATATCCTTCTCAAGGAGCAAGCGTTCAGTGCTGTGCTTGGCCTGGGGGGAAAGAGACTTCCCACTTCTCAGCCTCCCACCAGACCTCCCCATGGGCAGCGAGCGTGGAAGCTGCTCCAGGGGTGCTGAAAAGTGCCACGCGTTCACTTACCTCGTGGTGAGAAAGGGAATTAAATGCAAAAATCGTTTATGTAAAATTTAACCAAAGGAGGACGTACGGCAGGGAAGGAGAAACATTGCAGCTTCAACCCAGAACCAGTGTCGCAGTCTACCACCGTAAACTCTAGACATCATGCTCAACTCCCAGCCCTAAGGAACTGGCTGTTGGAAGTCTCTTCCCCCACTCACTTTTCCTTGACTGGGGGCGAGGGATGGTGGTGATGAGGTTTCGCAGAGTCCACGGGGAACATCCATCAATGGAAAGCATAGAGCAGCAATAAGATGGTGCAGATGCCAATAACGCCACCCAAGATGAGCGAATCTCGCCGTTTCCGAAGGTTGATCCTTTGAATCAGGCTGTTCACTGCAGGAAACCGATCTTGAGGGAATCGGAGTCAAGGTTAAGTCAACAGAGAGGGTCTGTGTCAATGAGCCTCCACATTCAGCTTCGTGTGGAAGCCAGCGATACTGCAAGGAAAGGGAAACTACTCCCAAGCTGGAGAAAGCAGATGCAATGCAGAAGCCTAACGGTGAATTAGCAGGCTACAACTGCAATAAAAGCACGAAAAAGGGGAGAACAGAACAGCTTAGAAGTCAAATTCACACAGAATCTGGTATTTACTCACCTGAACCACCTGTGCCTCAATCAGTAGAGCCTCAAGATGTAGAGCTTAATTCATTTTAACTAATTGTGTTCAAAAGAGAATGAAAAAAATAGTGCCAGGCATATGAAATATCTGGCATATGACATGAATATGGAATTTATTTAATTACTCTGTTAATGATGAAGATAACAGCTAGATTTTATAGTGAAAACAGGTGTTTTTCATGAAACTGCCCCATTCGCTGTGTATCACACAAGGAAAAATTGCTTCAACTGTAAAATCATTTAAGTGTCAAACTTCTTTTAACATAAAAATACAACAATCGAGATGTTAATAAGCTCCCGAGCTTTATATCTTTTGACCCAAGAATCTTTTAAGGCCAAAGCTTCTTGAATTTCTTTTGTTCTTGCCAGTTGCTACGATCTGCAATGAAATTTATGGCTCTCCCAACTACATCTCTGCAGGATGCAATCTGTCTAATCAAATGATACTAATATTTGTTGGACCCTTGTAGTACGAAGGGAGAAGCAAGGGAAAAACAACAAACACGCATGGCTTGACACCGCAGCACGTTCCTTAGCCAGGAGCACAAAATAGGAGTGACTAACAGACCCAAAGCTTAAAAGCCTGTGCCAGACAAGAGGATCTTCAGGTCATGAAAACACTTAGCTGTACAACAACAATGGGTGATCTACGCCAAGCTTGAGCTGTGGACAGCCTTGAATGAAAGCTCACTCAAAAAGTGAGCAGAAAGCAAAATGCAGTTATATTTTTCAGAAAATAAGCAGCCAGGAATACCTTTAACTGTCAATGCGCATCCATGCAGGGAAATCAATGCTGCGAACGCACACACAGCGTTCAAAGTTGAGCAAAATGCCCTTGTCCCCCTGTTTGTCACCCAGGGGCAGTCACATTAACAAAGGGAGAGGGGGAAAACACGAGCTGGGAGGCCCTGGTGACGAGGCTGCCGCCAGTGAAGGGGTAAGTGGCCCCGCAAAGCGTTTCGATCTCCAAACGCCAGCCTGGAAAACCCTCCCAGAGCTTTTCCTACGCACCGGCAGCGCAAGCTTTAGCGAAGGATACTAGCCAGGGTATTCATTTTGCTTTGTATCGACTTCAACATCCCTCTCTGCGAAGTCATATTCTCTTTAGTTGCCATGGCGATGCTGGAGCAGGGAAAAAAAAAAGAACGGATCAGGTTGCTGGTGCTAGGAATAATGCACAGCTAAAACAATGGGGAAGCGCAGGCAACGCTCCCGTCGGGAACAATGAATGGGGTGAAGCAGTATGAATGAAACCACTTTCCCCCCCCNATTAATCAGCATCTATTGCTCTTAAATGACTTCTCTTCTGATATAACCTGAAAGACCTGGAAAAAAAAGCATCTTCTTGAAGCAGGCAGGTCTCCAGTGTTACCCTCCCACCCTCAACCCCATCAAAAATAAGACAAAAAACATTCAACGTTGCAAACAAACCTGAAGGCTCTTTTGGGGCATAAACTCTAAATTCAGCTTTTTTTTTTTTTTTAAATCACAAGCGTAAATCACAAACGTAGCTCAGGGAGCCTGACACACAACCTAGCTAGGAGCTGCAGTTACCACGTCTTTAAAGATCTATCAACGTAATAAACTGATTAATAAACAAGTGATCCACTTGATTTGGGATCAGGACTGTCGTCCAATTCCAAATAAATTTCAGATTCGCTTCCATTAATTGGCGCTGCAAGGCCAATCCGCTTTCCCCAAGCTGGAGATGAAGGAGCTGTATAATGTCAAATGGTACCCGCCATCACAACACAGAAAAAATAAGTTTATGAACTTTGGTCCTAATGAAGAATGTCATCCATGGCTATATAATTTTTAGACATTGCCTTTTTTTTTTTTTTTTAAATAAAACATAGTCTAGCCGTATTTATTTTCTCCAAACATAAGAAGGCAATGTGGTTGAATATAACATATTTCCATTTCAACTTTAAGACATTCTGGACATTGGGGAAAAAAAAAGTCCTGTATTCTTACTATCACATTTAAATGAAAATTTTAAAGAATTACTGAGTTGACAAAAAGTTTAATAATATTATTTTTTTTTCCCACTTCACATTTCTCTTCAGTCCATTAAAAAAAAGATAATAAAACAGAAATTGAAACGGTAAACTATTATTTATAGTCACAGCTAACACTTTATTTAGCTACGTAGAACACAATAGCTTTGTCAAGCTGCACAGACTGACTTACAGCTGGAGAAAGAGTATATAAAAGTTTAGGCTCTGCATACGTGGTGCTTAGGAGGAATGGTTTGACAAATACTGTTCTCCTTGGCTGGTATATGTTGCAAGAATAAACAAATCGGGACATAAATACAAGACAGCTGCATTAATAGCTCAGAATATGACAGCTGTAGTGCTGCTGACTGTACCTACTCGAATAAAAAATATTAAAATGAGTTCTAGGATATCTTAAGTCTTAAATATGGAGGGAAACTGTTCTGGAAGAATGCAAGGTTAAGTGGTGGTGTAACGATACAGCAGCATCATTACTGGGCCAAAATCTACATGAGAGTATAGAGAAAAGCCTGTAACAGAGGCATAAATCAGTGTTCTCAGGAGGGAAAAAAAGCTGTATATAGATATGGAAAACCAGTTACAACCTAAGGCTGTAAAAGGGGCTGCAGGATTAGAACAGTAGGTGCAAACAGTATCATATGGCAGAAGACACTGCATTTCACAGGTTGCACTTGCAACCCAGCACACAAGTTTCATTCTTTACTTTTCAAAATAAAACGACCCTAGAAAAACTTTCAGGTTTTACCGAGAAAAGCACTAGGGGAATTTTGAATTACCAGGCAATGAGATGGAAAAAAATCAAATAACATTTCACAGCTGCACACAGGAAAGTCGGCTCAATTATTGCAGCTTCTTATTTTACATCTCCAACCATCTTTGATAGATGTCCCAGTGAAATCCGAACGTGGCGTCTCTCAAACCACTCCTGAATTAAGCCACGTGGTTTCAAAAGATGCATCCAATGACTCATTAAGGAATCCATTAAAGTGGAAACACAAGATGATTGCCAGGATATAAAGTGTTGCTGAGACACCTCCAAAATGCCTCTGGGAAAGAATTATTAGAGATTAGCATGCCATACAGAGTTCCTGCTTTAACATCTGAGGAGTAAAGTCCACACCAAAAAAGAAGAAAGAGCGTGATTTACTTTTTTGGGGCTTACGGATTATAAGAAAATTTTGTATCAATGTAATAGATTTTACTGAAGCGTGCTCAGGAAAAAGCTTAAATTTTGCTAGCATGTGTCCTGGGAATGCAACGTCATGATGGCACACACAAGGACTGAACTCACTTTAAGTTACCATGAAGAGACAAAATTCAAATAAAAAGTACTTTTCTTTGATTTTTCAAAACACAAGCTGGTTTTCTTAAGTCTCTATCTTAGATAATCTGAGACTTAAACTGAAGCACTACTAAAAATAATAATTCAAAAAATCCACAGTTCTCAGGAACTAGAGTCTCAGGTATTGTGGTTTCCTCATTTCCTTCCTTACAGAGTTTAAGTTTCAATCTCATCTCTAATACTCTCTCATTAACTTACTGCTACCATTTCCTTATCTACTGATGCTTTTTAAATCAATCATATTCTTCCTTTTCACATTATTGGCCTCACTTAGTTACTCTTGACACAATATTCTCCCTAGATCAAGCATGCCATTTATTTACATTTCAAAAATTCTACTCACCATTTATCACAGAAGGATTAAATGTTTTTTAGTTACCATAATCTATTTTTTATGTGCAGAAGGCCCCACATTATTAAAATATTCAGGCACTATAACACAGAAATCCTCCCTTTTAAGAGCATTCTCCTTTTTTTCAGCACTATTCTGAAGTCTTGGCAAGGCTCTCTTTTAAGACTGATAATGAGTACTAATCTATTCTCCCAATCTCCTCACTCCACATGAGGAATTAAACTTTTCTTATGTTTTTTTTTGACAGGTGATTACCAATAATGATTCATTTCAACTAGCTCATTTTCCAAGAGTTAAGTGTAAATAAATAAATTTACATTCCAAAGTATTTGTAATAGCACTTCCAATGTTCATCTCCATTTAGTAAGAAAAAATGCAGGAAAAAGGAAGATAAAGAAATTTTGATTATAGAATGATCTGAGCTTTCATAATTAGGTCCTTCCTGCTGATTTAATTTATATTTAAGTGTGGACAACCTTTTCCTCCACTGGCTTCCTATGCTTCAAACTACATGGCAGTCAGGACTTCCAGTTTATCCACGTGGACAATAGTGTTGATAAACTACGAAAATTTTCAAATGCATTCAGAAAGGGTAAGAAATTCCAAATTCCAGCTCTCTGCATATTTGCTTCCTGGCCTGAGATCCAAAATCATCCTTATGTGCAACCCCAACCATTTGCATCAGTGACTGGTGATTCCAAGACTCTGACTTACCATTCAGAAGGCACCATGAACTATCCTCAGTGCAACACTGGATTAAATTGCTTCAACTGGGTATAAACCAAGTTCCTAAAAGTCAGTTGTATTCTGCCCTCTATATTTAATGCCAGAGTACTCTTCCAGCACAGTATTAATGGGGACAACCTCAGCTGGGTACATCTCGGGTCGCAGCCACTAAGAGCCATCCATGGTGTTCACAAACCAGCAGCAGCCTTTTACATTTGTGTGCTGGAAAGCATTTTTCCTAAAAATTTCTGCTAGTTTTCAAGTTCATCCTCAAAATGTTTGATAGTGCTGGATGTGAGCAGACAAATTGGTCTTCAAAAATAACCTCATATCTTCACTAGTGTGAAAAACATGGAGAAATAGCCATTTCCAGCATCATTGAAGTCAAATTAATCTAGGAGTCAGAGTGACAAGTTTAATGTTGCTTCATCTGTTTGTTGCTTCAAACTGCTAGGTATTTTTAACACACAGAGCAGCCTTATATATATGTGTGTGTGTATATGTATATGTATATATATATACAGGTATACGTGTGTGTGTATACACACACACACACACGTATACCTGTATATATATATACATATACACACACACACACACACACTGCATTTATAATCAAGTAAAACACACCAAAAACTTGACTCCTCGCTTCATCCTTTGAGATGGCTTCATTAAATCTACATTGATAAGGAATTAAAATAAAGCTCTAAAGGAACATGCTGTGTTTTTAAAATCAAATTAACTCATGTATTGCTGGAAATAGTCTCATTCTGTGACTCCATGAATCATATTTGCTCATTCATTTAAATTTATGAAAACATCTATGATATGACAACGTCTACGAGTAAGAGATGGGCTCTACGTCTCTGCATAAAAATGCAAACTCTAGTTTTCAGTTTGTAGTAATTCTAAATATAACCCTTATTTTTATATATACATGCATGTTTGTATGTAATCTTTCAAATTACTTTGAAGATTATTTTGTTTGTTGAGTAAATCCAAGATGAAAAGTAACACAGTCTTGGAAATGCAAGTGCTTTTGCCTTGGGGTTCTCCAGCCGGGCTCTCTGGATACAACTAAGACCCCAAATCTCCTATAGCCAAGGCCCCAAATCTTCTATACCCACCTTTTATGCATCCATGTGTCTGCTGGGCAGTACAGCCCTCACACTGACCCAGACTCTTGATAAAAAACAAGTGATGAAGGGTCACTTCATGAAGGGTCCTCTGGAGCACCAGTGTCTGGAGAGACATTCCTGCTTTTTTTTTTTTTTCCCCTCTAGAACCAGGGGGAAGGCATCCTCCAGTTATTTCTCTTTTTATTTTGTTTTTTAATTTACAGAAGCTGCAACTGTGGGTGGTTTGGCACAACTGCCTGATTCAGGCATCAGAAACAGTATTACAATAAAGTCATGAGAGCTGATCATATTGCATATGCAAAGCTTTACATTTTCTCTTTTTTTTCCTTCAAAATAAAAGCTGTTAGAAAACAAAAAATAAATCATTTGCTATTTTGAGAAAGTGATAATGTTTGAAATGAAAACCTGAGAACACTGAACATATTAAGCAAAAATCCATGCTTATATTTAAATATGTCCAAGGCAAGCGAGCACTGTTCCAGAAGAACTGCAGTACAAAGTAGCACATCCCACTCCTTTCTGGGAAGAAATATGCTGCAGTAAGAACCTATATCATATAATTCATTTTAAAAAAATAGATTAAAACTTTAGTACAAATAAAACACCTGGGACAACAGCCCAGCTCATCTGTAGAGTTTGTGAAAAATTGCACCTTATCTATCCATAAAAGTCTTGTATGTTGGTTTGCTCCTGCGGGGGAACCACATACAGGAAACGTCAGTGTCTGTATTTCAGTTTTTATCTTTATCTGCACCCAGCTTGTCAGCAAAAGCCTCTGCAATCACAGAATGACACTTCCCTGCGCTTGCAATGGCTGTTTAAAAAAACAGTCCTTAAAAATAAAGAAATAGTGATCTCAAATTCCTGAATTGCACCCAAATAATATGAGTAATGAATTACAGCAGATGTAACCCTTGAAGATGGAACAATATTAGTAGCCAGAATAGGCTAATTATATCTCACTTCATTCTAGGAATCTGTATCAGAGCAGTTTCCCCTGAACAATTCCATCTCGTGCTTGGTTATCGAGAGATAAGACTAATTAAATTGGGACAAAAATCTTCTGGGAAATACACTAAAACGAGAGGTTTACCACCAATTAATAACATACCCAAATGCTTGCAATTATTGGGTATGACAAGGAAAGGAGTTAAGAAAATTCACCCTAGCTTCCACAAAGACTGAATTAAATTAAAATAATATAAACTGATATAAACTAAACCACATGTCCTGTTAAATGCTTCTTTCTACCAAACAAGCCCTTTCCTATTGCCTCTGTATGAAATACAGAGGCTTTTTGGCCACCACTATGGTATGGTATTTTCACCGAGCAGCACCAGGAGTGAACTGTGTTGCTGGAATTATCACACGTGAAGCACAACTCAAAGCAACTGCAACTCAAAGCACTTTTAAACTAGCCAGGGCACCTGCTGCTGGCAACGAGTTGTGACACCATGGAGCTTTTGAGTAGGCTCCAAATTAATTTAGGAATTAATTTAGGAATGTTCAGGCAGCTGGCCTGTGCTGAGCTCCAGTTTGCTACAGCTGCATCCCCTAGCTCAGGTAAATCTATATGCAGATACACTTACTAAGCATAGACTTACTCCCAACTTCTCACATGACACACAACCAACAGGGTAGATGGAAAGCTTGCATGATAAGATATTAGTCATTTTGCAGAATATTCAATTTAAAAATAAATCATCAGAAGCTTTTCAATGCTCCAGCTACTAGAGTGACAGCAAAGAGGAGATTCAGCAAATGTTGAGTCAAGTGTTTTCCTAAGAGAGAAAAGCACTAGAATTATGGCTTTTTTTTTTTTTTTTTTTTTTTTTTTTTTTTTTTTAGAAAAAGATAAGAACTACTAGTGTGGCCAAGATTTTTACGTGCTCACCAGGCTAACTATGGTAAGATTATATCCACTTTTTCATACATTATTTGACTGAATCCTCTTTTCTTGTCACGGTACGTTAGTGCGATTTAGCATGTTTTCCCCCTGTGTTAATCACAGAGAACCTCCTATGGAGTTAAGACAGCCAGCCCTTAATGGACACAGAGCCTGACCACACTTGTAATAATTCCTTTTGATCACTCCTGCCAGTATGTGCATTAGCTAAAAATCAAATCTTGCTTTCATTTTTTTAAAAGAATAACCTAACAATTTAAACCATTAAATTGGGCACTCTGAATTACCAATTCGCAAAATCCCAGAGTTGGGAAGGACACACATGATAAAAGTAATTTATGATGCGCTGATTCGACATGAATATTTCTAGAGCGGTTTGAGAGGGCAGCACTGGAGTACTTGAACTGCCCATAAGCCAGAAGACAGAGAATTATCCCACAGCCTTTAAACACTCAGGCCACTAAATCACTTACCTGTATGATGTGCAGAGTTAGAGAATATCATGCCACGTAAATGTGTCATTATGAGGAGAAATGACTCAACTTTTCGACTAGCCCTCGAATGGCCCAACCTGAGAGAGCTCCACTCAGCTCAACCCCTGTTTTTGTTTTCATTGAGGCTATTTGCCTTTGAAAACAAGCCTAAAGTTTCTAAATTAGGATGAGTATAATTAATCAAGGCCCTTACGTTAAAATTGAATACAAGAAAAAAGAAAAAATAACACTTCATTTTAATTATAATACTGCCTATCAGCTGTAAATAAAACACTTATTGTATACACAAAATGTCTGATAGCTTTGGATACAGCTCAGCATAAATACTGCCTGTAGAGAAAATAATTAAAGTTAATAAATTCATTCCTACCTTATTGTCTCTTCTATCAGCCGATCTGAGCTGAAAGCCAAAAGAAAAATAGCAGTTAAAAGAAAGGAACAAGCATGGAATATTTTAGATCATTAAAGCAATGCTCACTCTAACGCAATCTTTAGCAAACTTGCCCTTAGAATGTTTTATTTCAGGACATTGTTGTTTTCCACTGCTACGCAGATTTGGAATATATAATGGGAGCCTTTAGATGCACAGAAAAACAGCGAGAGCAGCATTTCCCAGCTGTAAGAGAGCAGATGCTCAGGAGAACATAAAGACCACAGAGACCCACAGACAAAAAAGAGGAATAGGCTCCATTATTCATGTTTAATTAAAACCAACTGAGGCAGAGCTGCACACAATGCCCAGGACAGCTTGGAAAGAAGTTTTAGATAAGAAAATACATCATTTTATTTGCTCTGCTCTTTAGTCCTGGTCATTCCCTCTCTTCTCCCCCAAAAAGAGAGTAAAAATAAGAGCTGAGACTTGGCTTCATATAAAAACTTTGTTTTAGAGCTAGTTTACCCAATGCTATTTGATGGTGGCTAATGAGACAAACTCTTCCTATAATATTACCCATTGAAAGAGAATTAAGTGATGGATACAAAGAAACAGCATCTGCTACAGTATCACGCACATCCTTCCCCCCTGCTGCCAAACATTAATCAGGTTTTTACGCAGCATCCTGAGAAAAGACAGGTTAAAACACGGAACCACAGAGAGAACATTTCAATTAAAAAAAACCCCAAAACAACAAAATCAGACAGGTAAGATCAGAAGAGAAAGGAAACCCGCAAAATGCTGGAGTGTTTTTCCCCCTGTCCTCGACTTGCCTTAGGGAGGTTTTAAACTGGATCAATCCTTTGCAGCCCGCTGTGAAATGTCAGGACCTGTCCTGATAAACCCAACCCGCAGCTGTAACCGCGACGGAGCAGGCGGCTGCAGGGGCACGGATGCATCTCCAAGTCGCTCAGCCCCAATACTCCAACCTCTTGCAGAGCAACACGGGACTTTGCTAGCTTTAACACACCAATCCACGCGACAGGACTATATCTTAGGCAGTAGTGGGTACTGGTGTTTCTTGCTGGCAGAACACAAGGATTAAAAGACATTAAAAGAGCGGGGCCATCTCCATCTTCCAAGCTCTTTGCTCCAAGGGGTTGAGCATCTCGTGGGAAGCAGCGGCCCCAGTGCGGAGCCGGAGTCTGTCCGACTCCAGAGACGTTGCCCAAATTGGAATATTTCTTCTGCCCACATAAATTCTGGAGATCCCCCCACACCTCCAACTGGAGGCCCAACCAAGCAGCACGTTGTGCAGCGTGTGTGTGTATGTTTTATCTGTGTATGTGTGTATATATATATAACTGCTGCGGGAGAGGATGCTGACAAGATGCCCCTATTTATCTGTGAAGAGGAGGGAAAGCAGAAAAGTTGCTATTTCAGGGCAGTCCGTGGCTTGAAATACGAAGCACAGAGAGCACTAAAAATATTTTGCCTATCTTGAAGTTGAGAGGGACTCAACTGGGGCAGCAAAGACTGTGAAAACATTCGTAAAACTGGAACGCTTCTTTCCATGACCAAGATAAAGGCACAACCCGGTTACGAGTAAATTGGTTTAATAAAAAAAAAAAACGTTTATACTCACTCTGTGGTACTTATTACCATGAGCACAGAGAGCTACAAAATGCCTGAGTTATGTACCCAAAAGGAGTGTAATCAGTCTCAAGTTTCATTGCATTGATAACGTCCTCAAGTAAAGTGGAAAAGGAAAGGGATGCATTAAGGGTTTCCAGAGCTGTCAATTCTCACAAGCACAAAATTCAACGGGGAGTGTGTCTTTCACGCACCTCTAACACCCACATGTGTTGTCAGGTCAGTATGTAGTAAGAATAAACTGCAAAAATATCAGAAAACAGACTGGAAAGCGTGAGTGTGGGCCATTTAAGAAAAGACTTTTGTACATTTATAAGAAAAATAGACATCACATGCCTAGCTGGAAATAAGTGACACATCAAAATTCTATGGAACAAAACATTCCTAGAATAGCCCTACTTTACTGAAGGAGCCAGGAAAGTTGAATAAATTCAGAGACCTTAAGTGAACTGCTCTGTTCTCTTAGGTTTTGGGTGGAGTTGGAGTCTCCACTGGTGAGCAATGAGCCCAACTACTCTGTGCATCAGACAAAGCAGCAGGTGGGCAGTTTTACTGCTTAATCAGATGAGTAAATACAGGGAGTATCATGTTTAAAAGGTTCAGTCTCAATTCTATTATCCAGCATTTGTGTATGTGCGAGTCTGTAAAAACCCTTCAAATGGAGTTACCTGTGAAATAACGACAGGCAGAAGTTTATAATATGTCCACATGGAGTAATGCAGAGTTTTCAGTACTAATTAACACATGAGTTAGAGGCGAACGCCAGCACACGACATCCAACACACATGTGAAGTCACCAGATTGATTTTTCTCCACTTAAATGGCAACCACCCCAACTATTTAGAAGAATGAGATGCACGTAGCTTTTCTCCATATGAATGATGCAAAAGTAAGAGGAGAGGGAACTGCTGCAATCCCTTTAAGTAAATAGCCACAAAGCTAGGAATCAGACACACTCACTGCATGCAACTTTCAGGATGTTTTTCCTACCCCAAAGACCCTCATCTTACGACTGTCTGAACCATATTTCCAAACAAGGCTCCTCCTTGCAAGTCTCCAGGAGGTGTACAAATCCCAGAGGAAAAGGACTACGACACAAAATTCCGCATTTCCCTGATCCTCAGCTGCTGAGTGACTATTGTCAGGCGTTTTGTCAGTGCCATCACGTCACTGACTTTTTGAGGCATTTTGTTTACTGAAAACTTCTCCTCGGCACTATAAGCAAGAACATCTTTTTCTGGCAAAAATCTGTGCATCACAATTCCTTAGGGTTTTGCTGAGTTCACTCAGTCCTTCTTGCAAAAGCTGAGCTTCAACAGATACTAGATGCTCTTGCAAAAGCAGTACGTGCATTTGCAAAGCATCTCTTATTTAGGTCTCTCCAAGTGGCTGGCAAATGCAGACTGTAATATTCACTTACACTGGTATCCACCAGAGAGGAACAGGCACTTGCTTCATCAATTTACTGTTTGTAACTATAGGAAATAACAGTGGGATTAAGGCAGGCCAGGAACACAAAGCATAAGAGCACCCAAAGACCCCAAGTTACCTCGTGAACATCTAAGCAGGCAAACGATTACGCTGGGCAATATTAATCTGATTCACCAACTGTTTCAGGAAGTTATGTAGTTTCACCTGTCGAGACAGATGGCACTTTGACAAAGTCATCTGAAAATGCGATAGGAAAGGGAAAAGCTGGAAGATGCTGAGGCAATCGCCGCTGTAATGAATGGCACACGTCCAGCAGCAGCAGCCGTGTGCAGGAAACCATCAAGCCCCTGTGCAACTACTGGAACTTCCAAGAAGATTGGGCAGTTTGTCATTTAAATACGCGGACAGGTTAGTTAATCCAAAGGAAAAACTAAGTGGAACGTGCGTATATGGTGGCAAAGAATCCTGTCCTTCACGTCAAGTTTTAAAATGAAAGCGAGGTTCCATTTTCTTTGTTTTTTAAAGCAAATCTCTACGTTAGTAATTTAAATTCAGAAATACCGATCACTACTTAGGTCAAGACGGGGCTTCTCCCCTATCCTAAAGGGCAAAGACAAAACTGATTATTTTACTTCATTCTTTCTCTGATTGAAAATTAAATGAATTTCAGCTCTTTCTAAATTGCCTGCATTAGATCATTTTTTATCTTTTCACAGCCCTGAATCACCAGGCAATGTAGAGCCTTGAGGAATGCCAACACTACAAAACACATTTCACACAATAATACAAACATACAGACTATGACAAAGCAAATCAGATTAGAGTCAATTATTTCCATCTTCATAATCATTCCTTAATCATAAGTGATGTACTCACAAAAACTCAGCTCCAATTGATTTTTTTCTTACCATCAAGTCTCCTTATCACAAAAAAAAAATCATTAAATTCTTTAAAACTGAACTGGAAAAATATAAAGCAGAAGACATTCTTCTGTGACAACAAGGAAGATATTTTTCCAGATTTTACAAGACTTGTCTCATGGTTGACAGACTCCAGTGTCACCGAAGCAGTGAATTCCACTGGAGCTGCTCAGCTGCGTTGGACAGTCTCCTATAGCTGCTAACAAGGATAAGAATTGGTGCAGAAGCCTAATCGTGGACCGGAACCCAGCAGGAGAGCCTGTGTGACACACACATCTGGGGTATGTGTCATCTAGAGAGAGAGAGAATTTATAATAGCCCGAAAACAAATATATTGGACGACAGGGAATGCATCTTAAACTTCCAGCATCTTAAATTGCTTGCAAGGCCTATTAAAAGTTGGTCAAATACAAATATTTGATATAAAATCAGCATTAAAATGAGATGTGAAGTGTGTTTGATGCTCGGTGGTCACTTTCAAGAAGAATGAAGAGTAGCTGCAAAGCCAGTGAAGAAAAAACAACAGGACAGCACCAAATCACCTTGGTTTTAACCAGTACGAGAATTTTTTTTAATTTAAAAGGTACTGAGTATCACCATCGTTTGGTGTTGAATTCTTTGTAGATGGTGCAAAAGACACTGGGTATGAGAAGAAAAAAGCAAGATAACAGAGGTAGACTTTTCTGCACCTCCAAAATGCACAAAGTTGACAGGGAGTTAGCAACGGAGTCAAATAAATGTTTCTGCAAAAAGAAGCGTTTGCCAAGAAAGCTCTTTGGCACACAGAAAGTCTATAGGGGGGAATGCCTGATGCTCAAGAGTCCCACGAGAGTGGGTAACAGCCATATTTTCTCCTTTCAAGTGAATCTATAAGGAAGAAAGAGGCTTGTTGATAAACTGCAGTACAGAGTTTACCCCAAGAACACAGTTAAAAACTTAAAATGAAAACAGCTCCTCTCATCTAATGAAGTGCAGCAGCTGGTTGCCTCTTAGGAAGGGCATAAAACCAACGAGGGGATGGCA